ACACCTCCCAAAAGAAAATATTTGGAGGCATTTAAAATCTTGCCTTGGAGGGGCTGCTGTCCTTCAACCTAAGCAGCCAACAGAGCTGGTGCAGCCATACAACAACCCCTATTTCCTCACCAGCAGGAAGAGCTAAGAATAGTTGAGGCCAAGAGGATGTTAGAAGTTGACCAGAAAGGGTAATAGAAGCTATCCCCTGCACTAGCCTGATTTGCGGAGTCTTTGCGTTCCCCTGGAGACACTATGGGAGCAGGCAGGTCACTCCTCTGTACCTAAAGGTAGACGCCTAGTGCATCAGAGACATTCCCACAGGGCTGGAAACTATGACATGGCCTGCAGATCTGGAGACCAGCTGGGGCGTGATGCATAAGCTTAGACCTTCTCCTGCACAGAAGATTAGGCAGAAATCAAACATTTTTAGGACTTGATAAACAGCTCAAGGCATCTCTGAGAGGACTCATGCCCATCTCCACGGCAACAGAGGCCAGCAAGGCTCTTTAGGAAGTTCCTCAGGAGATGACAAGGTCATGCTGAGGCCAGTGCTGGCTGCGCAATACATGGGAATGAATAATCTTGTGAAGCCCAAGAGCAAAAGATGATCAGCAGAGACAAGGCAGTAATGTGGAGAACACAGGAACCATGAGGACCAACATATTGCCCAGCTGAGAGCTCCTGCAGGGTGAGACCTGAATGCTCAGGCTCAGCTGTCAGACTGGGGCGGGCTCAGGCTGCCCATTCCTGGGCTTTGCCAGCCTCAGCTTTGGTGCAGGGGAGGATCCTGCCCACCCAAACGCAGACGGACACTTGCACAAGAGGTCGTGCTGTCCAAGCATCCCACCTCTGTGCCTGGCTTAGCTGGACTCCAGGTCTTCCCCCGTATTTTGAGAGATGCTGCTTTCCTCCACACACTCAACAGGCTGTGACTGGCTGTCAGCAGGGTCTGAGATGCAGATAGACAAGCACATTGCTTTGCTAGGAGCTGGGCAGGACGTGGTTGTGATCCAGGCTGCAGGACATGCTTCAGAGCAGCACCGAGCTATCACCCTTCCCTTCCCCCCAGTATCCCTTTGCTGTTGTAGTGTGCTCTCAGTGCAATCCAGAGCTTATTTTCCTGTTTTACAGCTACCTGCCTTGCAGGGCTTGCAAGGCAGGTGAACAGGATCTTCCACAAAGCAGACTCAGAGCAAAGAGGAAGACCACCATCAGCAGGCACAGCATAGCTTGAAGCACAGGAGACAGGTCTAGCCCGACAACATGGTCTGGTGAGGAGAAGGCCAGCAAGTTAAGGCTGGTTTCTGGATGGCCCAAATGCAAGCAGACAGCAGTGATTCAGGCCTGCCTTACTTTGAAATAACTTTCTTACTCAGGAGTTGGGCAGAGCAGCAATATCTCTGGTTATACACACTGAGAAAATGCTGCTCTGAGCAGCATGCAACATTTTAGTACCCTGCAGAATTTCAGAGATGCCACTGCTTCACTCTTGCCCTTCTCCAACCAGCTCTGCAGCATCCACTAAGCTCTGTAGAGATGTGGTTTTAAGAGCCAACATATATGTGGCATGAATTGAGTGCAAGAGGAGCCTGTGTCATGCAGATTAGAGGTGCTGGTGAAACCCTCCCTGCCAAGCAGCCTCCCAAATTCACTTCCAGAAGTCAGTTGGCACAGAGACCAGCAGGACTCCAGCAGGGACAAGTGACAGATGTACATGTTGCAGAAGATGGATACGTGAAACCCAAGTGCAAGGACAACATCAGTGACTGGCCCGTAACGGTCAAGCCCACCTTGACCTGCAGGCTTACTGTCCACGTACTTCTGGCCCATCAGCTTCTACCATTTCTCCTGCAGCAATAGGATGGACATGGCCTTCTCTTTGCTTCCCTCGCTCCATTCCAGTTGGTGGGAGGGAGCGGGGAGCCAACAGTCCTCACAACTCAAGGAAGGAGGTAGACTCCAAGCAACACATTTTGGAGCCCTAAGCTACAGTACCTTGAGACTGACCCTGGAATCCAGAGGTAGAAGCATCTCCAGCTCCTTGGCTTGCTGGAAGTTGTGTTGCTCACTGAGGTTTCTGCTCGTGCACCCAGGAGGACCAGGGCTCCATTCAGGCGAGCAGAGCAGCCACGACCTCTTGATCCACTCTCTCCTAGTGGGAGGGGACAAGGACAAGGGTGGCCAGATGTGGCTGCAGATGAAGAAATTCCTGTGCTCCTTACAGCATCTACCCCAGCTCCTGTGAGGTTTGACAGCTTAAGAACAACTCCTCGCAAGCCAGGTTGCCTGCAGGTCACTGCCAGGCAGGAGGGACATTAGCCTCCTCATGTCCCCTTCCTCCTGGGAAGTTTTGGCCATTTCTTACTGCTCTGCCAAGGACACCCTCTGGAGGCAGACTCCAGAAAGACAAAGGTGGAAATGATGGGGGAATGGCAGCTTGGGCTAGGCCAGGCTAAAGGGCACCAGCTGGGTTCTTTATTTGTCACCTGAGAAGGGACATCTGAGGATAAAGACAAGAGACAAAGGAAAAGCTGTCCACCTGCCCACTGGAGAGAGGGAATGGGAGCACTGTTCTCCCTGTCTTCCTCACCCATCCACCAAGATGGGCCCCTGGGGCTCTGCAAAGGGCAGGCCCAGCACTGGTGCAGGACTAGAGCCAGGCTGAGGCATGGGAACCTCCATGTAAACTGGGACCCTGAGTACCTTCACCAGGCAGTATTCACCATCCCCATAGTAGCGCTTGCCTGTGGGACACAGGGAAAAGCTGCAGTGACGATGGCTGTGTCAGAGATAGGTCCATGCAGAGATCCTCCTACCCTTAGCAAGGATCGACTCAAGTCAGAGGGGTCCAACACAGGCAACCGGAGCCGATATGGGATTCAGGAGAACCTGAGCATGGAGGTGCAGACATTGCTGGGGCTGTAATTGCAGCAGGCACAGAGGCTGTGCAGGATGGAGGGTCTAGGAACAAGACTCCGTTGATTTGAATATGAGCGTGCAACCATCCTGCTCCTGGTCACAAGCTCATCAGCTCTGAGAGCAGCCAGACTGGTCTTGACTAGCCCTTGAATTCAGGGCTTCCCTGTCCCTACCAAATGCATTTTGGCCTCTCCACTGATGGGAACCTCCTGCCAGCCCACGGCAAGCTGGATTGTTAATAGCTCAAAGATTTAAGGGAAAAGCACCATGGAAAAGGATGGTATCCTACAGTAAAAAAAAAAAAACAAAAAACAGAGTATTAACAAAAGAAGGCATCTCAGCAGCACTCTGCTCCAGGGAGCCCTGGAGGCCGGCCCTTCCCACCCAACCAGCTGTTGGAGGCTCATGAGGTTCCTAATCAGGATGGCAACCAGACTTGTCCTGGTAGCTCATTAACTTCTGCTATCTTTTGTGCCCTAGCAATGATTGCTTTGTACTTGTCAGCTGCAAATATCCTGCTTGCAGAGCCTGTGCACACCTGAAGAAACCAGCAGTACCAACTCCCAGCCCTACCTGTGTAGTAGCAAAAGGCTGGAAGCGCAGGATTTTACCAGGTTCCCAGAGGGATGCAGGAAGGCAAGTGCCCAATTTAGGGTTGTCTCCGATGCTCATGGGGACATTTACTGCTGGGTAGGGTAGAAAAACAGCTCCCGCACCTGGAAAGCCACTCACCAAGGTGAACGTTTTACCCTAGAGAACAAAGACGTTTGTCTCAAAGCCCTAGCTCCTGGGATCAGGCAGTCATTTGGGATCATTTGCTCTCTTAGTGGGGAAAAGGGTTATTTCTTAACCTCTCTGATGGCAAGGAGCATGTGGAAAGCAGGAACTCGGAGACACCAAACCCTGCAGACTAGCAGAGAGACTGTGCAATTCAAGGAAAAGAACCATGTTTTTTTTTTTAAGCTAGTCTGTGTTTTTTGAGGGGCACCTTTCTATTTTGCAGGATTGGGGTTGGTTATTTAGACTGAGGATTTGCCACGGGATTCAGGACCTGGTGGCCTCTTCAGGATCTACTAGACTTGCCTCAGCACCAGGTCCGGAGATCATCCCGGAGAAGCAGGATGGTAGTAAAACCTGGAGTGAGCAAAAAGCAGCACCTTCGCTTTGCCTTTTGCTCTTTTTATTTCCTTTCTGCCTATATGGGAAGTCCCATTATGCAGCTGCAGGTGGGGAGGTAATGGATCCTTGTTCCAGGCTGTCATGGGGCATTGGGCTGTAAATAGGGAGTGCTGGCATTAGTAGATGTTTTTTTTCTCACTCTGAATCAGGCATCGCTGTGCCAGCTTTTCCTCTGCCAGGCTGAAAAGGAGTTTGTAACCAGAGCACACACAGCTGGGGGCTGCTTTTGCTAAAGTAACTGGGATTTTGAGCTTTTTCCAGAGGGGGGGGAAAAAAAACTGAAAAAAAAAGTCACATTAAATCCAGGTGTGGAGCCTGCAAACCCAGAGAGGGCAGGAAAGAAAGGAGAGCTCACCAAAGCCTCCCCAGAGCCAGAGGTCCAGAGGGTGCCAGTCCACCACCCACCCCCCCCCCACTGAAAATAGGACCTCAGGAGGCACATAGGGCTGGAGATGATGGCATCAGGGAGGAGGAAAAAGTCTAGGATTTCTCATTAGCCTGATTAAAATCTTCACATGGTCACCAAAGCATTGTTATCAGCACAGTTACCATGATCCTAGCGCTATATGCTCAGCCTATATTCACTATATACAACGTGCATACACAAGCTATTGCATTGTCCAGGGGTGGCCATCCTCAGGTCAGGGACACACGGATGCAGTCGTGGGGCTGCTTGTACCGGGGTGTATCCTGGAGTGTGTTTAAATACAAGCAGGAAAGGGGCTTTGCTTGCTTCCCAGCCCCTTTGTAAACTGCTGGGCCAGATCAGGGACCACTCTCATTCCAGTTAGGATTTGCTACCAGATTTCTGGTTTTCCAGAGAGCCCTGCTTGCCACAAAACCAGGCCACACAGTAAGGACCAGCCTGCCCAGGGTCCAGGAAGCCCAGGTGGGGTCACAGCACAGCCTGAGTGGGGACAGGGACAGCTCAGGAGAGGGTAGTGGGGCTGGAGGAGGTGGCTGAGGGTGCTGGGTGGGGATGCACCCCCTTCAGGACACCCCAGCTGTGGCAGAGGCAGGGTGACAGACAGTACCTGGGGCACCGTGACAGGTGCTGCAGCAATGGGGACATCAGGGCGCAGCCTGCAAAAAACCATGTTCCTGCCTGGGTGCTTTCCAGTCCTCCAGCTCCTCAGCGCCCAGACCCTGCCCACGAGGCTGGTGCCTCCCCTCCCGGGAACACAGGCTAAACCCACACCGGCACTGGCCGTGGTCTCGCACTTTATTGGCACCCACTCCTCCTGGTCCCCTTCTCCCCCATGGACCCCCTGCTGCTGTCACAGCTGACAGCTGGCCATAGGGCCCAGGTGCAGCTCCAGAAAGCTGATGATCTCCTGCCAGGAGTGCTCCTGGGCCCTGGCGTGGGGCTGGGGCTCACCCCCCCACATCACTGGCATGGGGCTGCCTCGGATGGCTGAGAAGCTGCAGAGCGGCGAGCCGGGTGGCTCGATGAGGTGTCCAGCCCCAGGGTAGGAGAGCAGGCGGTAGCTGTCCTTCTGCATCCGCGCCATGGCCAGTTCGGCAAAGAGCTTGCTGTTGAAGTTGCGGTCTGCCTCCCCCACTACAAAGAGCACCTTGCCCTGGACCTTCTCCACGGGGATGGCAGAGCCACTGTGAGCGGGGTCCCGGGGGTCCCCGAAGACGCTAGCATTGTCCAAGGCCCCCAGCTCAGTAAGCACCAGGCGCTCAGGGTAGTAGGGGATGGGGGGGATGCGGAGGCCCTTGTAGAGCAGTGGGGTTCCATGGAGGGAGGCTGTGCCGTTGATCCACACTGTGGCCACCACTTGCGGGAGGAAGCTGGCCATTGCCAGGGCCACCTCTGCCCCTTTAGAGACGCCGATGACACCCAGGCTAGGGCCTCGCACCTGCAGTGGGCACCAGAGCCAGATGACCCTGCTCACCAGGACTCCCCACACACCAGGACCTCCCCACTCAGTGGGACCTTCCTGGACCAGGGTGCTGGGGTCCCCCATGGCACAGCAGTACTCACCTTGGGGTGCCGGAGGAGCAGGTCAGCTGCCTCCTCGAAGTACTCCAGGTCCAGCTCAGCCAGCGTGCGGGGCAGGTCATCATAGGCAAAGAAGGCCAGGGCCAGCACCACAAAGCCCCGGCTGGCCAGCAGCCCAGCTCGAAACTCAATGAGGCCCCCCGCACCCCCAAACATGTCGATCACTCCTGGGAAGGGCCCGGGTCCTGTGGGCAGTGAGAGACATCTGTTGCCACCAGGGATACCGGTCCCAGCCCAGAAACCCTCGTTGCCATCCCAGCGGCCAAAACTCAGCCCCGGGGTCTTGAGGATTTTCCTGGGGAGGGCACCCATGGAAAACCATCAAACCTCAGATATGCTCAAACCCATTTCCAGGCTGTAAAACATGGAGTGGGATGGTGGAGACCCATGGATCCCACTGGGTGCAACGGTGGCTCCTGGGGAAGCACAGCTGGGGATGGGGAGCCCCCCAACTCCTGGTGCTCACCTGGTGGCAGGAAGAGGGCCCCACGGACCCTGCCCTCACGGATGGGGACACGCTGCACACCCGGGCCCAGCGCGGCGGGGCGGGTGGCCAGCGGCTGGTCCTCGGGCCCCGTCACCAGGTGGAAGGCATCGAAGACCTCAAGGCAGACGCGGAAAGGGCTGCCCACCACATCCCGCTTGACCAGGCGCTGGAAGAGGGTGTCAGGACGCAGGAACCAGAAGAGCCCCATGGGCCAGACGCCAGTGAAGTCACCTCCCAGGGCGGCGTGGCGTTCAGCATCCACCTCGCCATCCCTGTCAGCACGGTAGAAGGCACGCGCCTGGAAGCGGACACCACGCTCGTCTGTCAGCGAGGCCAGCAGAGTGACCAGCTGGGAGGGGGCCAGCCCCCGCACGTGCACCCGCACCGGCCGGTCAGCCAGCGAGGACAGGGGCGTCACCGTCAGCTCCAACATGGCGGGGCCAAGGGACGGCGTATATCGCCCGCACCCCCCCCCCCCCTTACCTGGCCTGGATGAAGGCTGGTCTGCGGCTCTCGGCTTCGGAGGGAGTAGGCAGGAGGCAGGGCTCGTCCTCCCCCACCCTCGCCCTTTATCCAGGCCTCCTCCGCCAAGGCAATCATTAATCAGGGAAGCAATGGGAGCCAAGCATGCAACCTCCCGCCCGCACGGTTGATGACCTGGGCCAGGCCCAGGGCTGCCCCATGGCTGCACCCCACAGCTCCCAGCAGACCATTCCACCCCCTCCAACCGCCTTGCTCCCATCCATGACACGGCAGAAAAATAAATCAAGGGCCCAGGGCTGCCCTGGGCCCAGGAAATCCCCTAATCCCCATCCAACCGGTAGCTTTGCCCAGCCCATTGGGGTCCCCTGCACCCCACGATGCTGCTGGCAGCCCAGGAGAGCAGGCAGCCGTTCAGTAATCCACCCCCAGCTCCGCTCCGTCTCAGAACGGCACGCAGCTATCTTACCGGGCCTGGCTGGCTGACAGCTCCAGGGAGAAGCTCCCAGCCCTGGGCACCACCCTCTTTGCCTTCTGTGCCAGGGAGCCTTACAGCAATCAAGGTGTTGCCTCCCTCTCCAGCCTCATGTTTATCCCCACCGCCCTTCTGCTCCTTGGAAGCCAGCTATGCCCCAGCCCAGGGCTCTCCTGTGGCCCCTGCCACCGCACAGGTCTGGCTCACACTAGGCTGAAGACAGAGCTGTTAATGTCCAGCTGCCATCAACAAAACAAGGCATTTATGGGGGGGTGGGGGGGAGGGAAGAAACCCACAAACGTGCAAGAGATGCGTGGATTTCCAACCCCAAGCCCCTTTCTTTCACCTGTCTCCTACCCACCATCTCCCAACCCAAGCTCCAACCCCCATCCTGCCCTGCAGAGATGCTCCAGCTCCCCCCAGCACTCCCAGGAGAAATACAACAGGAGTCTGATGTGAACTGTACTTTCCCCTTCCATGAGGTCTGTACCACAGCAAGGATAAACCCACTTCCCACTTCCACCCCACACAACCAGCTCCAGCAGGGCAAGACTCCTCCTTAACAAAGGCCTTGGTGCTCGGCATCCCCAGGAAGATCTCCAGTCCAGAGATCACTCAGTCCCCAGCAGAGTGAAGGCCCTGAGCAGCAGCTTGTCCTGGAGATGCCAGACTCCCCCCACCCCAAGCCCTTAGAGGCGAGTTCAAATCCCTTCACACGCCCTTTTTAAAAGGCAAGACAGATTTGGGCAGCAGAAGCAGTTCTCATTCCAGTGAGAGACAAGATCCGGCCCTGTCCCAGGCTGTCAGCAACACCCCGACTTTGCAGGGAAGGAAGGATCCGGCAGCCTGTTCTGATGGTCACTCCACTGTGTAACCCAGCTCTCCATCTGATGCCGAGGGCCCGGGCAGCATCTCCTGCCCACAGAGCCAAGGAAACATCCCTGGAGCTCCAGAGAGGAGCAAGATTTGCAGAAACCCCAGCTGCCTGGGCCTGGCAGAGCAGCAGGCTGGCTGAAGCCAGGACAGTGTGTCGGTCCTGCAGCCCAGCACCCTCTCCCCAGCCCAGCACCCTCTCCTCAGGCATCAGTCTCATTCTGCTGCCGCTTTGCGCTGCACGGGCGCCTTTTGGAGCAGAGTCAGCGTGTCCCGCTTCTCTACCCGCCGCAGCTGTTTCTTTTTCGCCCGCTTGAGCTTCAGCGGGTTCCGGATCTGGTGGGGGGAAAAAAAAAGGCAGCTTTCAGGCCCGACACAGAGACCACACTGGGGAGAGCCAGGCCAGGCAGGCCCAACAGGGCTTCCACCCTCACGTTACCCACCCCAGCAGCACGGCCAGCACAACCCAAGCCGAGCTGGAGATATCCAGCAGGAACTAGGCCCCTCTGTACAGGGCTGCAGGACAGCAGCCTACCAACCAGCCAAGCAGCTGCAAGAGGGTTTTCTTCCTCCCATGGCCAAAGACAGGACCTAGCAAAGACCAAAGCCTGTGCACAGAACCATCTGGGTTTGTCCTTTCCCCATCCTTCCCAATGCTGCTCAAAGCATGTCAAAGCCCCCAGGAAAAGGGGACAAAGCGAGGAGAAGGCAGCTTGGAATAAACCAAAGCCCAATGCTTGGATCTCAAGGCAGCCAGGTCTGCAATGGTGTTAATGCCCTAGGCGCCTAGGAGGTGCTCGAGAGTGCAACTCACCACTTGGACGATCTCTGCTTTTCGTTCGTTCTCCAGGCGCCGTTTCAGGTTCTCCTCCCGCCTCCGCTTCTTTTCCTGCAGGAACAGCATGAAACGTTTGCTGTAAGTCTTCTCCTTTGGGCTGGGGACACGGCAGAGGAGGAAGGGCAAATCCAGGCAAAGGGAGGGAGACACCCCACCACCCACATCAGTTGGGAGAGCTATCAGCAAACTCTGCCACCTTCCCTCAGACTCAAGAGCTCCATCTTTCTGACCTACGGATAAACAGGGATCAAGAGCAAGGGAACAACTTCACAACATCCATCTCTGCTGACCTGGCCAGGACAGTCTCCGCTTACTATTTTACTCCTGCCTGTAGCGCAGCTACTGGAGAGGACAACAGACACCACCTAAACCAGCACTGACTTGTGATGCAGAGCCACAACCCCTTTACACCAACCTCAGGACCATGGTGCTGATGAAGGGCTGCACCCTCCTCTCCTCCTGCCATTTCCCTTGTGCCAGCCATGTCCGTGCCATGGGACAAGTCAGATCTGCTCACTACAAGCCCGAGGAGATGAGTTTCCAGCCAGAAGCAACTCCCTCATGGCCACATGACTGTTCAAGCCAAGATGACTAACAAAGCAGGGACACCAGCACGGCAAAGGCTGGACCCTTCCTTTTGGCAGCAAACGTGTAGACTCTCTTGGATACACCAGTCCGAGGGCTGCAGGGCTAGAACAGCACCTGCCACGCACAAAATCTGCCAGCACAAAATCAAGCTATCAGCACTTTTCCACATGACACTTGAACTGGCCCATATGAGCTTATTTCAAGTCAGTGACATGCAGCATGTGACCGGCAAAGGCTGGACCCTTCCTTTTGGCAGCAAACGTGTAGACTCTCTTGGATACACCAGTCCGAGGGCTGCAGGGCTAGAACAGCACCTGCCACGCACAAAATCTGCCAGCACAAAATCAAGCTATCAGCACTTTTCCACATGACACTTGAACTGGCCCATATGAGCTTATTTCAAGTCAGTGATATGCAGCATGTGACCACCTGGATGTGGCATAACAACAGGGAATTCACTCTTGCCTGGCCACAGTCCAGGAGAACGGCTGCTGGAAAGAGCTGGGTTTGTGCAAGCTGCCGGGAGCACGCTCTGCACATGGAGCATGCTCTGCCACTATAAGCCCATGGCCCCAAAGCCTTGGGTGTGGGCAAAGGTACGCAGTTAGGTAATGGGGAGAGGTGAGAAATCTCTAGTCATGGCCTGGCTCTGCAAAACGGCACAAACCTCCTGCTGGCAAAGAGACCAAGCAGCTCTGTCTGAGGTCTGGGACAGCAAAGGCCCCAGCAAACCCTCCCCATAGGGTGCCAGGATCCCCACAGCCCCAGAGAGAGAGCTGGGCACAGGCAGAGCTGCTGCCCTGCACAAGTGGCTGGGTGATGCTGCCTCAGTTGCCCACAGGGTCCTGTGCCCTGAGAGCTTGGCTCCTGCGCTCCCTAGCAGGCACTAAGGCCCAGATGCCTGTTACCTCTCGCTCCCTCTGCTTTCCCTCCTGCAGCTGCCGCGCCAGGTCCTTGACAAGCTTCCTCTCGTGCCGCTCCTTCATCTTCTGCTCCCAGGAGGTGCGAAGGGGCTTGTCCTGGATCATGTGCGAGAACCTAGGCAGAGAGAGAGAGGCCGTGTCAGCCACTGAGGAAGTGACCACTTCACTCCCCGCAGCTGAGAGAGACCCACAGCAGCCTTGCTCCCTCCAAAAATTCCTTGGGTCAGGATCTCTGCAAGACTTCACCCAGCTCACGGCATCCCCCAGCAGCTTTCCCTCCCCTCCAGATCCTCCCAAAGCCTCTGCCCAGCTCAGGAGTCCCCCTCAGCCACCCCCACGGCTAAACCCTTCCCCCCTCCAACAAGCAGCCCCAT